TCGGCTTACCACGAGATCAGTCCTGACTGGTTTAGGCAGCTTCTTCTCTGCTTATCCAACATGTGGCTGTAATATGAGTCAAAACAAACTGTTCCTCCATGACTCTGTTCCAACTGAGATGAACTGACATTTTCAGATCTTAACATCCTTTCAATTTCTGTAACTCAAATGACAATGTCACAAAGTTCAATAACTATAGATAGATTTTCACATAGAGCATGTCCCATATAGAAAAATGCATTATGTGAACAATGGAAGAACATGATATGTACCAAGGCAAGAGCTGAGCATATGAAGCTAATCCTCTTGCTGCCCTTCACTATTACTGTCCTTACTTCCAACGGAAGCCAAATTTAGTCAGGAATGCATGCCCTTTTACTGCACCAGTGCTATACATAAGGAGCAAAGACCACAGCAGATTTGACAAACAAACCCTGTTATAACAGTACAGTGTGTAATTCACCTTATTTTAGTATATTGGCTCAATTGGAATAAAAGAGTACTTTATCATAAATAATATATATTTTTATTTATTTATTTATTTTATTTTATTTTTTGAGTTGCAGTCTCACTCTGTTGCCCAGGCTGGAGTGCAGTGGCACACTCACAGCCACTCTAGCATCGACCTACTGGGCTCTGGCAATCCTTCTGCCTCAGCCTTCCAAGTAGCTGGAACTACAGGCGTGTGCTACCACACCCAGTCAATTTTTTTTTTTAATTTATTGTAGAGGTAAGGTCTTGCGAAGTTGCCCAGACTGTTCTCGAACCCATGGGCTCAGGCAATCCCCTCACCTCAGTCTCGCAGAGTGCTGGGATTACAGGCTTGAGCCCCATGCCAGGTCTTATTTTATTTTTTAAAACAAGGTCTCACTTTGTCACCAAGACTGGAGGGCAGTGGCACAATCCTAGCTCACGGCAGTCTCACTCCTGGGCTCAAGCAATCTTCCCAGCTCAGCCTCCTAAGCAGATGAGATTACAGGAATGTACCTCCAATAAATAATATTTTAAGCCGGGCGCAGTAGCTCACATCTGTAACCCCAGCTCTCTGGGAGGCTGAGGCAGGATCACTTCCTGAGATCAAGAGTTCAAGACCAGCCTAGGCAACATAGTGAGACCTTGTTTCTATAAAAAAAATTTTTTTTTAATTAGTCAAGCATAGTGGTGTGCACCTGTAGTCCTAGTTACCTGGGAGGCTGAGGCAGGATCACTTCCTGAGACCAAGAGTTCAAGACCAGCCTAGGCAACATAGTGAGACCTTGTTTCTATAAATTTTTTTTTTTTTTTTTTTTTTAAATTAGCCAAGCACAGTGGTGTGCACCTGTAGTCCTAGTTACCCGGGAGGCTGAAGCAAAAGGATCACCTGAGCCCAGAAGGTTGAGGCTGCCATAATCATGCCTCTGCACTCCAGCCTGGGAGACAGAGTAAGATACCATTCAAATAATAATAATAATAATATTTTAATGAGAAAAAATAATTTTAAATACATATGGATGCATTTACTTTTTTATTTTTGAATTGGAGTCTCACTCTGTCGCCCAGACTGGAGTGCAGTGGCATTTACTTTTTAATTTTAACTTTATTAAGCCAATTTAATTTTAAAACAGATATTTTAGTTAGTAATGCAAAATTTTTCTGATATACTAAAATCAACTACATGTGCATTAGGGAAAAGCTAGTTTATACATCTAATTTTACTTAGTATTTCCAGTTGTATATTTTGCACACACTAGAAACAAAACCTTCCATTGATTTTGCTAAGGAAATTCTGCAGAACCCCGTCTTTCTAACTCGGATTGCTTCCATTAAATACCATGTGCTTATCTTTCTTTTCACTTTAATATATTTTCACTGTTCATTATAGCAAATCCTACTGTCAACTACTGAACAATGCAATTCCTAATAGAATATAGAGGTACAAAATCCTTATTAATCCTGAAATCAACTGATGCTACCATAATAAACTAGGTCTACCATAACAATTTTCTCCTAAAAACAACTAAAAACCTTGGAAGTAAAATAGTGATCCCAGAGAACCCAATAACAAACTAGAATGCTTCTCAGGGCAGATTAAGTTGAATAATTAATTTGCATTGTTATTTAAATAAATACTTCAATCTTTTGGCCTAAGTAACCATGGGAACATACAAGAAGCATATATATGTATAAGCCCGGGCAAATCATGCTTTCTTAACAATCAAGATGCAGCTCCTAGGGGGATGGAATGCCTTCAAGTTGATAAGCCTTGATTAAATACAAGATGTTTGCCATATAGAAGTAAGGACCTTTATCCTGGTAGGGAGCAGAAAGAATTAAAAGAACTTAGATCAACCAAATGCAATGTATGCACTTAGCATGGATCTTGTTTTTAATAAGTTAATTTTTAAAAATGAAACAATCAGGAAATTTCAACACTGAATAAAAATTGATAACAGTAAGGAATTTTTAAAGGTGTGATAATGGTATTATGGCATGGTTAGGTTTTCAGAGTCTTTATCTTTTAGAGAGACATACTAAACTATTTATGAATGCAGCAATATGATATCTGGGAATGGCTTCAAAATAAACCAGTGTGGCCGCGATATAGAAGCAAGATAAGCTATGATAATTGTTCAAGCTGAGTGACAAGTATATGGTGATTCATTATATTATTTTCTCTAGATTTGTATATATTTGAAATTTTCCATTATAAAAAGTTCTTAAAAGGCTACAGCAAAATAATGAAATGATTGTTCATGTACTAAACATATCTGTGTCTCCAAACAACTAAGGTAAAAAGGCAAATTGCATTAAAATACATAAAGCAAGGCTCCTCCATTTACTGTATAACTTTGAGCAAATTATTTAATCTTCCTGGGGCTAAGTTTCCTTGTTTGTAAAATGGCAATACTAATAGTATCTACCTTATAACATTGTTCTGAGGATTAAATATGATTTTAATAAAACACTTAAAATCATGCCTTATACATAACAGTAACTCAGTAAGCATTAGCTATTATTATTATGCTTTTAAGCACACACATACATGCACACACACACACACACACACACATACACACTCTTAAAAAAAACCCCTTATTTTCTAAGTAAATACATGGGAAAAGATCAGGAAGAAACACAACCAAGAACAGTAGTTACTTCTTAGATGGCAGGGAAATTTGGGGATTTGGATTAGGGTTTAGGAAGAACTTCAAGCCTTCAGCCTTATACGGAATGTTCTAATTCTTTTAAAAAACAATATAGCCAGGCACGGTGGCTCAAGCCTGTAATCCCAGTAATTTGGGAGGCAGAGACAAAAGAATTGCGTGAGCCCACGGGCTCAAGAACAGCCTGGGCAACTTGACAAGACCTCATCTCTACAATTAAAAAAAATTAGCCAGGCAAGGTGGCGCATGCCTGTAGTTCCAGCTACTTGGAAGCCTGAGGCAGAAGGATCGCCTGAGCCCAGCAGGTCAAGGCTGCGGTGGCCGGGAGCATGCCACTGCACTCCATCCTGGGCAGCAGAGTGAGACTCCAATTCAAAATAAATAAATAAAAACAAAATATTCATGTAAGAATGTGTCATTTAATTGGCTATTGACCATGAGTCCTTTAAGAACAGTCCTTTAAGAACAGGAGGCACAGGGTGCCTCATTTATCCTTATAAATTAAGCACCTAGCACAGTGGTTAGCTCTGAGCAGGACAATCAAAAGCAATCTGTGAACAGAACTTCTCAAAACAATAAGCCATGGAATAGAAAGTGTAGGGAGTAGACAGGAAAGAAGTTGGGGAGAAGAGGACCATTACAAGAAAAAATCTGGAAGACTGGAGGTATCCAAAGAAAAAATAAGGTAAGGCTACATTTCCTCCTAAAAGGTCTTCATTTTGATTATTTATTGTAATTTCACATAAGGCATTATGCAGATAGTATAAGAGCAGTGCTTCAAAGAGTTATCAAATACAGTAGGGTTGACTTGGAAACACAGAATTTCTTGCCATCTTTCTATCCCAGCCTCCTCAAAGCCATCTCCAGGTTCCCAGGTTTTTCAATCATTTATATGATGTACATATACATTTATTGCTTTTAACCACCCTAGCTTTCCTTCTCCCTTTTCCTACTAACTGCATGCTAATTTTCCTTAAAGGTACACACCTCACTCACTCTCAATTTACACAGGTTACTTAAGTGGGGCTGACTTGACTCAATAGTTCCAGAGGTGAGCACGTGAACCAGATCCGGCCAATGAAAGAACTACATCCCTTTGGCACAAAGTAGTTGTGTTGGGAGAAGGAGTGGGAGGTGAGAGTGGCAATAACTACTAAATTTAACCTAGGAACTGGGGAAAAGGCACCATCAATATGCAGAAAGTGCTGAACTAGGATTCTAATCTGGGGCTGTTCAACATGGCAAAGCCTGTCTGAGAATAATGCCAGCACAACCAAAACTAAGAGATGAGAAGTCCATGATCCCTGTGATATCAGTTAAACTCCCAATCCAGACATGGCTAGAGCCAGTACACTCTTAGATCAAGCAAGTTTAACCAAACTTAAGACTGAAATAGTCTTGACTAGCATCTCTTCAAAATGTTGTTTCTTCCAGTACTAGAAGCTCAATGCTGGTCAGTGGTTTTAGTGGAAGAAATTTCAGAAATTTCCACAAAGCTGGACAGAAAACAGGAGAGTGGTAACTTAAAAAAAGAAGAAAATAAATAGTTAACACACAAAAATAAATCCTAAAGTCTGTCTTTCAGGTCTGTGTCTTGGTATTCCAGAGCCTCTGGTTAGATTATTATTCCTTTTCTGGTCCAGACTGAGAAACTGAAGGTTCAGAAGAAAACTACAAACATCTTCCACAGGTTCTCAGATCTCTCACTTAGACTATGGCCATACCTCACTTTAGAACCTTACAGACTAGAGAGAAACTATCTCTTATGTTGCTATTTCTGACTATAAGGATTTGTGAAGATCTTCAGATGCATGTCTCAAGAATGTGAGCAATTAACTGATTACACATACACAATCATAAATACATATGAACATCTTTATTAGGTTACTTTGTCAGACGCAGCACAGTTATCTGGAAGAAGACAAGGGATTCAGATCCTATACAGGGGGAAAAAAAAGTCCTCATCTCAGAAATGAAAAGAAGGAAGGGGACAAGGAGCTAAGATTTCTTTGGTTCTTCATGTGTCAGGCACACTTCACACAATACTTCATTTAATCTTTACAACATCCCTATATGCTAGGTACAGTTTCCTTCTTAGAAAGAGGAGAAAACAGGCTCCAAAAGTAATGTAAGCATCTGAGGCCAAAAGGTTTCAAATGAGGATTCAAACACAGGTTAAAGTAAAAAAGCTCATGTAGGCTCCAGCTATAATCTGCTGCCTCCTGGATGAAAAGGAGCTTCATCCAGCTCCAGACGTTCTAAGAATCCTATAGCCAGGAGGAAATTACATCAGAGGAATCATTGTCTACTCAGCCACCTATAGGTAAGCATGGAAATGCAAAAGAAACAATTTACATATAAGTATGATCTATTAAAATGTGATCCATTTAAACTATAAATTCAACATTCCACTTCCAAGGCAAAAGACAGTCAGTGGTTTTCATGCAGCAGTTAGAAAAAATTCAAATCCTTCTACCTGACCTACACACAAGATCCTGCCTAGTGGTTGCTTCCACCTCATCTCTAACTGGTCATTCACGCCCACATTTACCAATACCTCAGGCACACAGGCCTTCTTTCTGTTTGTTGAACATACCAAACCCTCTTCTACATCTAGCCTTTGCACGTGTGAGCCCTCTGTTTGGAATTCTCTCTATCACCTTTACTTATCTTTTTCCCTTATTCATCTTTTAGTTCTCAACTCTTAATATTACCTCCTCAGGACCCTTCCCTGACCACTCTCTTGAAAAACAGTTAACAGAATTTTCTTACTGGACTTGTCACAACAGGTAGTAAGCTTTTTTAAAAAATAGATTTAAGCCGGGCTCAGTGGCTCAGCCTGTAATCCCACGCCTTTGGGAGGCTGAGGTGAGTGGATTGCCTGAGTCTGCGGGTTCGAGACCCGCCTGGGCAACTTGGTGAGCCCTCATCTCTACAATAAATCAAAAAATCAGCCGGGCATGGTAGCGTGTGCCTGTAATTCCGGCTACTCAGAAGGCTGAGGCGGAAGGATCGCCAGAGCCCAGCAGATCGAGGCTGCGGTGGCCGGGAGCGGCCACTGCACTCCAGTCTGGGCGACAGAGTGAGACTCCAACTCAAAAAAAAAAAAAAAACCAGATTTAAAAAAATAGACTTGTTTATTGTCTGTCTCACCCTAGAATATGAGGTCCTACCTTCACTAAACTCCTCTATCTTGTCCCACCCCTTATGGAGTTCCTCTTTCTTATCCCGATAATGGTATACCCTACTACAGTGCTTAGCCTGGTACATAGTAGGCAATTTAAAATGTATTGATTGGTAGTAGAAGACAATATTACATTTAATAACACTAATTTTATCTTTTCTGGGTGACAGAGAGACTCCGACTCAGAAACAAACAAACAAAAAAACTACAGATCCTCTTTTGTGTGCCCTACCCTGGATTTTTTCAACCCAATTTAAGCCAGGACGTCTTCTTTTAGCTTCTGGTTCTGAATTGCTGGATTCTTACTTTTTAAATTGCTCACTTGCTCAAAACTTATAACGTACACACTAAGACTTTATTTTTATTTTCCTCTTTATTCCTCCCCCAACCAAGTTATCCTTTCTTACCTTTCTCAATGCTCATTAAATCATACACAAACATATATATGTGTAAACATACATACAACATACATGAAGTGACTTTTACAAATCAGAATCATGACTACATACACTTCTTTTCATCTTTCTTAAAAGTACATTGAAAATTCCTCTAAATTAGCTGTTATAGGTTTAATGCATTCTTTTTAGCATCTGCATAATTTTCCATAAAATTTATTTATGTAAGTTCTCCACCACTGCCCTTTGATAGCATTTATTTTGTTTCCTTTTTTTTTTTAAGGAAAAATTGAGCACTGCAATTTACAACCTTGTACATATGTATATATTCTTATGAGTATTCTTGTTTATCTGGGATAAATATCCCAAAAGCAAGACTGTTTGTTCAAATGGTATTTTCTTTTCATTTTAAACCATTGCCAGATTGCTTTTCAAAGAGTCTTTGTTTCCACAAGCACTGTATGAGAGTGGCTTTTCTCCACATTCAGCCTCAGTAGATGCTATCACTCTTTAATACTTGATAATCTTATGGCAACTCTAATATTGTAGTACACACACCACATTTTTTAAAACATAGCTCTAATGTGTATTCTAACAAGGAGGGTCTCCTGCTAAAAGCCCTGCTTAATTATTTTTTCAGCCTCAGCCTACTGCCAAAAACAAATAAGTAAATATATATTATGCAGGCCAGGCTCGGTGGCTCAGCCTGTAATCCCGCGCTTTGGGAGGCCGAGGTGAGTGAATTGCCTGAGCTCGCGGGTTCGCGACCCACCTGGGCAACTTGCCGAGACCTCATCTCTACAATAAATCAAAAAAATTAGCCGGGCGTGGTAGCGAGCACCTGTAGTTCCAGTTACTTGGAAGGCTGAGGCGGAAGGATCGCCGGAGCCCACTAGGTCGAGGTTGTGGTGCGATTGAGTGAGACTCCAACTCAAAGAAAAAAAAAATATATATATACATAATGCAAACAAATATTTACCGAATTAAAGGACATTTCGTTCTGTTAAAAATTAATGCTATCATAAAAACCCTAAGGAAGAATCACTCTTTGTTTTTATACTGACAGCACCTTCTTCCATTTATTCTCTAAAATAAACACGATTTTTAAAAATGCATTTTCATAATTTTATATGGAATATGATTTTCACTGTTACATTGGTGATAACAATTTTTTTAAAAGACCGACCCTATCTCTGCAAAAATTAAAAATTACTGAAGCCCAGTAGATTGAGGCTACAGTGAGGTGTGATTGTGCCACTGTACTCCAGCCTGGGTGACAGTGTGAGACCCTGTCTCTAAAAAAAGAAAAACAGAGTATTTCAGTATTTGAGGTCTACATTTCAGTAAAGTTTGGGATGGCATATGCATAGTATCAACATGTGTTGCTTTTATCATACTGATAAACAACAGAAAGTCTATCAACTAAAAAAATGAGAGATATTTTAAAAATCATTCATTTAAAAGTTTTTGATAAATCTACTTTGCCATAAAACACAGACAGGATGAATTCTTCATTTTGAAATTGGTCAGACTTAAAACAAATAACCTGTGACATTCCTGTTGTCCCTACTTTACCTCCCTCTTCATTGTGTCTATTCTCTCCTTTTGCTACTGTACACTTCTGATGTAGCTAAATTGGGTCAATGATAGTGTGTGGGTGAAAGAGGTTAAACGGGAGGATAAATCAAGAAATGACAGTTGTAAGGGTAGCAATGGTAAAATCTTAGCTTGACAACTGGTTTTAAAATTACAGCACGGCCTAACACATAAGAATTCATTTGTTTTGCTCTAGTTTTATAAAATTGGCAGGGGTGGGAGCAGAAGATAGCAGAATCTTGGTAAATATGGTTGGACTTTCTCTTAACTAATAAAAAATATAGCACATCAAAATTTGAGAATAAGAACACAGAAAAGGCCGGGTTCGGTGACTCTAGCTATAGTCCCAGCACTTTGGGAGGCGGAGGTGAGTGGATTGCCGGAGTCCACAGGTTTAAGACCAACCCAGGCAACTTGGAAGGATCGCTGGAACATAGAACATAGAAAAAATAAACCTATTACCCTATAATCCGATTAATGCTTTACTCTTTTTCTTTTCTTTTCTTTTTTTTTTTTTAGTTGGAGTCTCACTCCGTCACCCAGGCTGGAGTGCTGTGGCACACTCACGGCCACCCGACCATCAACCTGCTGGGCTCAGGCGATCCTTCTGCCTCAGCTTTCCAAGTACATGGAACTACAGGCGGGGGCTTACCACATTCGGCTAATTTTTTTGATTTATTGCAGAGATGAAGTCTTGCTAAGTTGCCGGGGCTAGTCTTGGGCCCGCAGGCCCAGGCAATCCACTTGCCTCGGCCTCCCAAAGTGCTGGGATTACAGATTTGAGTCACCACACCCAGCCAATGCTTTATTCTTATAAAGCTCTTCTCATGAACTCTCACATGAATTCTCATGTAATTCCACTAAACATAGATATACCAGTACTTTCAAATAGAAATCCTGATATTTTACAAAACAAATGCCTTTCGAGCCAAATTGACTATTTGTGAGCCCAGAGAAGTAATGCAACAGATCCATATTTTACAAAGTACAGCTTTTAATTGTATTCTAAAATTTAAAATTAAATCTTCTTTTTGTTGTCTCTTAATAGCTCAAATTATCCTGAACTCGACCCCCAAATCAAATCATATCAATAACAAAGCAATCTGTATTTTAACCTTTGACTATACCCTTTTTATCCCTAATTCTCTTTCCCACTTCAGTTGTGGATATTACTTATAAATCAGTTCCTGATCCTCTCTCCTGTATTATATTTAAACCCCTTAGTCACAAAGATTCATCTACTTTCATCTATCACCTATATAAATTTATATCTGTCCAAACTTGACTTTAATTTAGTATGACATTTGTTTAGCAGCTAAACTTAAACCCACCCCATCTACCAAAATTCCCCAAATAGATGCCGTATCAATTAAATCTATCCCAAAATGACCAGGTTCACTACTTCTTCCTTTACTTCCATATTTAATATAAAATAAATAGATTCTTCCCTTACAAAGTCCCTGGTATTGGTCTTCCTTTCAATTTCCCCAGCCATTCGCCACTCCAGGCCATTATCTCTCACAAGTAATTATTTCAATAGCCTCTTAGCTAACCTACTTCCAACCTCTTCATACTTTATTCAACATACACAAAGAACAGCCAGAATTCACCACTTCAATTTGCCAAGTCAGAAGCCCACCGTGGCTCCCTACTGTTTCAAATCCAAACTCCTTAGCCAACTGTTTTAGATAGTTACAGTGTAAACTGGGCTCGGTGGCTCAGCCTGTAATCCCGCGCCTTTGGGAGGCTGAGGTGAGTGGATTGCCTGAGCCCGCGGGTTCGAGACCCGCCTGAGCAGGCGAGACCTCATCTCTACAATAAATCAAAAAATTAGCCGGGCATGGTAGCGCGCGCCTGTAGTTCCAGCTACTTGGAAGGCTGAGGCGGAAGGATCGCCGGAGCCCAGGAGGTCGAGGTTGCAGTGGTCGGGAGCGGCCACCGCACTCTAGTCTGGGCGACAGAGTGAGACTCCAACTCAAAATAAAATAAAAAAAAGATAGTTACAGCGTAAAGGTACTTTTTAATTTCATCACCTAAGTAACCACTTTTCCTTTTTTTTTTCTTTAGAGATGAGGTCTCACCAAATTGTCCCAGCTGATCACAAACCCGTAGGCTCAGACAATCCTCTTGCCTCACCGTCCCAAAGTGCTAGGATTACAGGCTTTATTTTCTTAAACTTCTTAACACAGCTGCCATTAGCCCCAGTACCTTTCTCTTTCAAAAATCATCCCATTTCAAGATCCTATAAGCAGTGTAGTATGAGGTTTAAGAGAATAGGTTCAGGAGTTTGATTTAAATCTTGTCTCTATTACTTTTTTTTTTTTTTTAATTTTTAAGAGACATGATCTCTTTCTGTTGCCCAGGCTGAAGTGCAGGATCATAGCTCACCGCAGCCTCAAAATCCTGGGCTCAAGCTTTCCTCCTGTCTCAGTCTCTAGACAAGCTGGACTACAAGTGTGAGCCACCATGTCCAGCTTATTAGAGACAGGGTCTCACTAACTTGCCCAGGCTTGTCTCAAATTCCTTGCCTCAAGCAATCCTCCCATCTCAGGCTCCAGATTAGCTGGTCTTAAACTCCTGGGTTCAAGCAATCCTCTGGCCCTGGCCTCCCAAAGTGCTGGGATTACAGGCATACGCCACTGTGCACAGTCTTCTACCACTTTTGAATAAAGTGATATTGACCAAGTCATTTAGCCTGATTTGGTACAACAGAGATAAGAAACCTACCTCCTAAGACTGTTATAAAAATTAACATAATATCCTTAAAGCAGAAGGTCAATTTCCACACTCTAAATGATCCAAAAATGCCAGTCATTGTCATTATTATTACGCAGTCACTATGATCTAGGAAGCCAATCTGATTGCTCCACCAGTCTATGCATTTGCCTTCATATTCTTGACTCTCTCAGTCATAGACCATTAGAGATGGAATGGACCTCAGAGAGGAGCTAGTCCAATCATATGTCCTTCATCATTTAAGTCTTGGCTCTCTTCTCCTTTTCAATTATTCAACTGTTGTCTACTACTGAAGCAAATACAAGTGCATAGCACACAGCACTTTCCTCAGAAAATATTTGTTGAGTAAATATTTAAGCTAAGTGCTAAAGAAATATGTAGTTAGTTTGATTTTTATCTTCTAGTATAGGTAAAATATTAACAAACCATATACAACTATAATAACTGTTTCTAAACAGTACCCTGTAGCTTCAAGTAACTATGCTTTGAAGTATTCCAGCCAAAAATAAAAATCTAATGTTACTTGGTAAGTGGCCTAAAATTGATCCAGCTAGCTGTATTATATCCTTCTAGCTGTGCTACAGTTCAATTCTAGTTCTGAATTCCACAAATTTTCAACATAAAAATGAGAGCATCATCAAAATAATATGTAAAAAGATAATAATAATATCTAAAACATTAAATGAAAAGTTAAGATTAAATAGCTGTCAAGAAGTAGGCATAATGCTGGCCTCCACCCTTGTACCTCTACCTATATCCTCAGCCACCCCAGCCCTGCCCCCCAAAAACCAAAAAACAAATCCATACAGAATCACAGTGGTTTTTTTTTTTTTTTTTCTCGTAGAAGTTTTAAAGCCGGAGAGACCTCCATTCTCATTTCTTTATGTCCCATTGAGTCCCACATGAGAAGATGAAACCCAGGAAGGCTGGATGATTAGCCTAAGGGCAGAAGCAGGGACGGGAAGTGAACCAGTATACCTGATGCCTAGTTCAGTGCTCTTTTAACTATATCATACAGCATTCCAACTGATTTCTTCCATACTTACTTATTTCTAGAAAATCAAATTCACTATCTGACATGAACTCACAAAACAGTTGACTATAATCACAGGGTGTGGCTAATACTGACTTTGTTGTTGCTGTTGTTATTCTCAAGAATACTTGAGAAATAAAGGTTTCAAGTCATTAATGGACCTTTTATATTATAATTACTTTTGTTCTAGAAAAGGTACTGCCCTTATGAAATTTTTGTAAAATATAAAAGTCCCATTTTCACTAATTCTTTTTCATGAACTACACATATATATGGTCATCTATGCAGCCTCCTCCCCAACAATAGCTTAAGCAAACCACATGTCTCAAATAAAAATGTCATCTATTCCAGGCTCATATCAGCATGTTAGAATCTGTTCCTAATATAGAATCATAGACTTTTGGAATTGGAAGGAACCTTGGAGATCACCTCTCATTTCACAGATGAAAATAATACACAGCAGGGACCTGTCCAAGGTCAAAGTGTCTTCATAAGAACCCAAGTTCAGAATAGCAAGTTCTCAAAGGGTTTTGGAGAAAAACACAATATTCAGTGAAACACCTTAGCTTGTCTCCCTTTACATCTACTTCTTAAGTATAACTTCCTACACTGGGAACTTTTGAAATTTAAGAAAAGAAAGCAAAACAAAAAACTAAGTCAACTTTTTTTTTTTAAAGTCTACAGCCAAATTACTGATACTAAAAGCTTAGCAGAAGTTAAGGCAGGCTACAGCAAGAATTTTAAGGGGGAGCTTTTCTGTTCTCTCAATAAATCCTGCTTTCTCAAAAAAAAAGAATCTTAAGATTTTATAACAAAATTCCCAAAGGCCTGTGGATACAATATAAATAAGTAGAGGGGGAATAGACATATGCACAAATCAAGAAAAGGAATAATATTTTTTATATCTGTTGCAACTTACATGGAGGATTGTTTAAAGGTAGGAAAACTTTATAAACAAGCAACTTTTAGTCACCATATTAATCACCATACCTATCAGTTATACAAGAATGTCAATATATTTTGAAATTTTATCTTAATCTCAGTGGTTAAGGGAAGGTGGAAATTTATTGTAGTCTTTTTAAAAATATGTATCCTAGCCCGGCTCGGTGGCTCATCCTGTAATCCCACACCTTTGGGAGGCTGAGGTAAGTGGATTGCCTGAGCCCGCCGGTTCGAGACCCGCCTGGGCAACTTGGCGAGACCTCATCTCTACAATAAATCAAAAATTAGCCGGGCTTGGTAGCGCACGTCTGTAGTTCCAGCTACTTGGAAGGCTGAGGCGGAAGGATTGCCGGAGTCCAGCAGGTCGAGGCTGCGGTGGCTGGGAGCAGCCACTGCACTCCAGTCTGGGTGACAGAGTGAGACTCCAACTCAAAAAATAAATAAATAAATAAATAAATAAAATAAAAATATGTATCTTAAGTCATATAAAGAAAAATAGTAATTTCAGGATAGTCTTTTATCAATCCTTAATAAAAAGAAAACCTTTCATCAAATCATAAAAAGAAAACCTTTCATCAAATCCTAGTAAGAGAATTATAAGCTATATTGTGAGGTCATGTTTGTAAGAATACATTAAAATAGAACATTCCTCAAGTTAAGGCCTGAAAAAAGACTAAAGACCTATAACTTTTTGTTTTTTGCAAAGAAAACTACATTATATATGCCAACTTACCTGTAGAAATATGTTTCTTAACTCATGAGGATCACCTCGCTTGGTTGTCTGCACCTGTAAGAAAAAAAAAAAGGCCAGTTAATGTTTCACTAGAGACCACACACTCGCTTCAGATTAGAGATCACATCCCTAACAATCAATGCTCTTATCTTTTATAAGGGCACTTCGTTTGCAACAATTGAAAAGTCCCAATTGCAGATAACAACTGTCAAAATTGAAGATCTGTGACTAGAGGATGGAAAAACAGGTGTGAATAGCCTGATATACTGCGAAACGACTGGACAGTGCTTCCTCTGGGCTAGAAAGGAGAGCAATGAGGATCTCTTTTACTTCACTCACATTGACTAGCAACACAGTAGCAACCACCTACCTTCAAATAAAGAGGCCAGCAAGAGTGGAGCAATAGGAAAGTTAAAACACCCAAATTAATCACTTGGCCTAGCAGCCTTTCTTCCCGTTGGAAAGCAATCCCAGCATATAATTATCTCCGCGTCCCTCTCCCCATCCAAACTAAAACATGAGCTGCCACATATACAAACACTTTCGACATCCTGCAACCTGCAACGCAAACGCCAGCCATTGCCCTCGCCCCATTGAAGTCCCCAATTACTCAATACTCACCCCCTCCCCCACAGCAATTCACTGATGTCCTAGGTATCCCCAGTTTTACTTGCCACTTCCCCCCACACCCTTTCCGATGTCCTTCAAACGTGGGGTCAAATTCTATGCACCTAGGGCAGGGCACTCCTCCTCCTTCACCTACCCGTGGTCCTCACAAACCCCTTCAACTCACAGTATTCCTCCTCCTCCCCTCCCCCAGCCGGGCATCCTCTCCCTCCGGTCCGAGCCCCACACAGCTCCCCCACCAGCAAGCGGGAGCCCCAGGGTGCGCTATCTAAGAACCAGGCAAAGAATGAAATGGGAAGAAGTTGGGGGCTGCAGGCAGGGCGCTCGGAATGTCTCGTATGCAATAAAAGCAGCAGCAGAGAGTTGGAGTCACCTTGACCGCCATGCTGTGCTCGGAAGCCGGGGACGAGCGAGTGAGCGAGCAGGACCCAGCTGTCAGGGTGCGCGCGCGCCGCCTTCCCGGCCACGCCCGCTCTCCGCTCGCCGGCGCCGCGCGCGTCCCTATGCAAATGAACCCGGGACGCGCCGTGTAGGGAGAGGGACCCGGCGTCCCGGCCAGGAACGAAGCTGGTCCGGGGCCCGCGGCTGGCAGGGTAGGAGGGAGATGCGCCTCCCACGGGGAAGACTGGAGTCAGAGCTGTGGGACTTGGCGCGCCGCGTGGTTGTTACAGCTAAGTCGCTGCCAGGCGAGCCCCAGGTTCCCTAAGGCCTCTAAAGTGGGTGTGGCTTTGGGCAGAGACCAGCCAAGTCGTTTTCCCCGAGGCTTAAGGGAAACTTGGGGCCTGTGTTGTGCAAGGTTTCGACGGATCAAAGCACACCCCGTTTCAAACAATGCATTAATGAAAACTAATGGCAAATGCTGACAAAAAAGATTGGAAATCACTCACTCTAGGGAAAATCTAAGTGAACATGAAATGAGAAGTAGGCCTTTCAATTGGCATGGACAAACACAATATATTTTTTTGTTTCGTGTACCATTGTAAAAATTTATTAGTAACCTCCTCCACTTTGTTAATCACCCTAATCCTTTGTGCAATGAGGTGGGGTAAAAAAATTCCATTTGTCTTTTACAGGGCTGACAGAGAATCCTGGCCCTTGTGCCTACCACAAACAGAAAGAAATTCTCCATTCAATTTCTAGTCTGACCTAAGAAGTAGTAGCTCTACCAAAATAGCGTCTCTAAAATCAAGGTTTGCCATTGTGACTATATTAGGCCACATATTGATTCAAACATATACTGGGCGTCCGTTATATACCAGTCACAGTCCTTGTAAAGAATGCAAAGACAGCATATAGTCCCTTCCTTCAGATGCCACATATTTATTCTTTTGTCTGTGTTTTTAAGCAAAGAATGCTCCTTAGGAAAAAAAAACAAAAAACAAATATAACAACTCCAAGATTTATCTAATATCACTTAGCTCTAATTCCTCTCCAGCCTCCTTTACATCTCCAATGTTGAATCTCACCTGAGACTGCCCATTTCTCTAGTCTCACTAATCATATTTGTGTTAAGTATCCAAGTTAATAGAAATGAGAAAAGAGTAGTGGAAAACGAAAATTGTTGACAAGAAACAAATTACTGATACTCTCTAGATGTTTTTCTGCTACAGTTGCTTTGTCTACCGGTACATCCCTTTCTCCAATGTGTTCAAGATGTTTTGATCAATGTAATATTGGTCCTACTAGCACCTTATGTCCCTAATACTCTGCTATTTTTTATATTATGAAGTTTCTCTAAGTAGGACTCTCAAGATGCTTATGCTACTTTATAAGGGAAAGATGTCTGTTTAGTAGCACTGAGTCCTGCTTTTGAATAAAAGTACTTGAGAGAAAGAAGGCATATAGAAACAAGTTGTTTCCAAATCCATATTGCTGGAGGGAAAATTTAGGGTTGGTAGCTACTCGGGAGGCTTAAGCAGGAGGATCTCTTGAGCCCAGGAGTTGGAGGTTACAGTGATTAGTGAGCTATGACCATGAGACTGCATTCCAGCCTGGGTGACAGAGTGAGACCTTGTTTCTAACAACAACAACAAAAATAGGACTGGACTGGCTACTCCTGGAGAGGAAGATAACATTGCATTTAAACAGAGTATACCACAATAATTCATAAACATAGGCAGCAGACCACAACGAAAAATTTTCTGAGTAAAAAATAGCTGAGCCTTGAGCAAGTTTAAGGGCCTCACTGCTATCAATCTAGTTGCAATGAAGATGATACAATAATTTAAAATTAAATGAGGCTGCCATATGGAGAAGATAGAAGAGCTCGGCCACCCTAAATAAATGTAAATTTTGCTAGATTTTTTCATCTACCCAAATATAGTAATCAACAACAAAATGCTGTATTATTTTATTTTATTTTTTTTTGTTTTTGTTTTTGAGTTGGAGTCTCACTCGGTAGTCCAGACTAGAGTGCAGTGGCCGCTCCCGGCCACCGCAGCCTCGACCTGCTGGGCTCCGGCGATCCTTCCGCCTCAGCTTTCCGAGTAGCCGGAATTACAGGCATGCGCTACCACGCCCGGCTGATTTTTTAATTTTATTGTACAGATGAGGTCTTGCTGCCCTGGCGGGTCTTGAACCCGCGGGCTCAGGCAATCCACTCACCTCAGCCTCCCAAAGGCGCGGGATTACAGGCTGAGCCACCGAGCCCGGCTGCTGTATTATTTTAAAAGCCCGAAGGTGAATGCCGAAATGTATTAAAAGTATGTACTGCTGGAAGTGCATTAAGTATCTAAAATAATACAAAAGCATATAAGATAGAGTTCCTGTCCTGAAAAACTTTGCAATCTGTCATTTTATTGTAATAATGGGCTAATAGTATTAGCAGGAGTTTTAGCAAATTAAAACTTACTTTTACTCAATTGTAGATGGTCATGGCTGGGAAAAACTCTATTAGCTAATGAGATATCAAACCTGTCAAAAAAGATTCACAATATATTTGACCATATTAAAAATGGTAAAAATATGTCGGGCTTGGTGGCTCAGCCTGTAATCCCTCGCCTTTGGGAGGCTGAAGTGAGTGGATTGCCTGAGCCTGCGGGTTCGAGACTCGCCTGGGCAACTTGGCAAAACCTCATCTCTACAATAAATCAAAAAATCAGCCGGGCATGGTAGCGCGTGCCTGTAATTCCAGCTACTCGGAAGGCTGAGGCAGAAGGATTGCCGGAGCCCAGCAGGTCAAGGCTGCGGTGGCCGGAGCGTGCCACTGCCCTCAAGCCTGGGCAACAGAGTGAGACTCCAACTCAAAAAAAAAAAAAAAAAATATATATATATAGTAAAAAATAATTCAAAACTTTCCATAATTTTAAAATTCCACATCACCGTATTTAGAATTCCTTCTTTAAGTCATAAATTCTATTTATAAATAAGAAATCATTGTACAACCGTGAAACAACTTTAAGTTGAAAACTTGACAATTAAAACAGTCTAGAAAGAATGACATTGCAGAAAACAAAATTGGAAGTTAAAGTCTAAGATACTAATTGCAATAGTAATGCATTTTCATTGTTGACCCTAAAAAGCAGATATCATTAATACATAGTTACTTTTTAGAATAGGTTTCATAAAATATATAGCCTGACAGAGCTGGGAATTTAAATCTGTTGGTGAGATAGTCACCCATGAAAATAATATATTATCCCCAGATGAAAAACCAAAATATGGGCTTGTTAGACAAACCCACAGGAATATTTCTCCAACTCCTCACTTAATTTATAAGTTGAAACCAATCAAATACTTTGTGGATGAAAGTTAGAATTGTACTAATGCCTAGTGTCCTAATAAGCTAAAATGTAGTTATTAAAATAAAGCAAATTCCAATGATCCTATTCTATCACAACTCTTTCCATTTTAATAACATACCATTTCTGTTGGTCTTTCAGCCTCTTGTGATTATTTGACTAATATAAATATATTTTTGCTCCTGTTTCCACATCCCACACAACTACTACAAATGCACTGTGCAAAAAAAGTAAATCAAGATGGGGCACAAACATTTAGTAGAGTATTAGATTATCGCTGACTAATTAAATCAGGAGCAGAGCCAGGCTCGGTGGCTCAGCCTGTAATCCTGCGCTTTGGGAGGCCGAGGTGAGTGAATTGCCTGAGCCTGTGGGTTCGAGACCCGCCTGGGCAACTTGGCGAGACCTCATCTATACAATAAATCAAAAAAATGTGCTGGGCATGGCAGCGCGCGCCTGTAGTTCCAGCTACTTGGAAGGCTGAGGCGGAAGGATCACCGGAGCCCAGCACGTCGAAGCTGCGGTGGCCGGCAGCGGCCACTGCACTCCAGTCTGGGCGACTGAGTGAGACTCCAACTCAAAAAAAAAAATCAGGAGCAGAGCTCTTCCTAGATTAAAGGTATACACACCATCACTATGATGAGGAATGAGCTGGATTTATTTTATCTTCTCCATCAAAATTAAATTCACTTAAAATATTTGAAATTAATAGCATGATCTGACCTTGGCACAAACACACAAAGCCTATTTGAACATCTGGAATTTTTAAGTATAGTTGGTTTGGGCCTATTCCTAGAATTATAAAATAGCTCTTTATATTTTATTTCACCATTGTAAAACTTATAAATGTTACATGTTGCACTTTTAAAATTTAACTCCCTCTTTGCTATGGAGAAATGGTAGGGATGGAATGGGGGAATATGAAGGGTTAAATATCCAACTTTGAGCAAATTAAGTTCTACTTGATAGGCTGACCTGGAAATCAATGCATCATAAATTATTATTTTTACCCAAGCCACTTATAGTTAGACACTAGATAAGTAACACACTCTAGAGCTTTTGTATACTTTACAAATATTAGACTCCCTGTAGGAACATTTGCTGTCACCAAAATAAATTCTCATTTTGGTGGAGAGGAAGGGAGTTATAAAAAATCAAATAAAATGGTTGTACTCCTGCAATTATATCTTTTCCAAAACGGTCTTCCTCACAGTCTGACTGTGAGTCCTGTAGATTATGCAGCGGAGATGATGGGAAGTTTATTTTGGATCACAGCCTTCTTTATTCCCTTGGGAAGCAATAACTGTTTTCTTTTCGGTGAATTTTGGAAGGGATTCATGGATTGAGCTGCTCTAGACATACATGGCTGTGAGTGTCCTATCACTATACTAATCATGTATAACATGGTATCTAATAGAAAACCATATGATCAAATGGATGATTAAAGTACATTAGCTTTAATGCTTCTTCAAATGTTCTAATTTTATGATTCGGAATGAGCCAAATTTTAGTTAATAAACATTTATTGAGTACCTTGTGTTTATATAATACTTGCTATTGCAGCTACAGAAAATATAAGAGGAATAAATAGTATGATTCCCAAAATATGGAGAATATTTACTGTGGTAACTGCTACTATTCATTTTTTAATGAGTAAAGAATGATACATAAACCTTTTTGGAGTGTGCCAAAGACCAAGGCTCCTTTAGGTAATGACTCTGGGGTAAAGACTCTGTGATTTGTCACATATTCTCATTCCAATCAAAAATATCTAACTGGGAGAACAAACATTCTGTTAAGTCCCTCAGCCGCCCACTCCTACCCTACCCTACCCCTATAGATTTACTTGGATACTTTTTGTTTCCTTCTACTTAGAGACCAATGAGGAAGAATGTTTTGGACCCAATCCAAAGTAAAGAAGAAAGTGTTACTTT